CGAAGTAAATTCTAAGTGAAGCCAAATTCATTCTCATAGGTAGAACAACATATCATCTCATTGGACTGGCTAGATAGGAGTCTGAGTTGGACCACGACTTTCAAAGTGAGTGGCTTTCGATGACTTCCTGGATGAGGCTGAGTGTCCCTGTCTGTAAACAGACATTATAAACACCCCGTTGTAAAGTTGGCACGTGCTTAGTGAACTGTCTGATGTAGCGCATGTTATCAAAAATGCTAGTTCTTTCTTCCTGGGAAGTGAGACTTGGCTGGTGCCAACGTGAAGTGCTATTTGGTAGAAGGTAGATAGAGGGCAGAGATGAGCCAGCTAGCTTCCCTGAGGAGGTTGCTCGAGGCAGTGGCCTCTGCACTCCTGATGCATCTGACTCATGCTGTCTCCTTGCTTTCCCTTTTCCTGCTAATTTATCGGGTTCATTACAGCTTCCATGGGAGCCGAGCAGAGAAACGATGGAAGAAAAATCCACAGATTAATGTTACTCAATTTCGGTCGTTCCAGCGGTAGGCGTGGCAGACTTGCCTGAGTGTTTCAGTGCGAATTTCCCTCAGGCTCTGTCTCTCATCTTCGTTGAGAGTGTACTGCTGACACTGGTGTCTCATGAAACCAGGGTGCCTTTCCCACCTCTTTCGGGACCCCCTGTCTAGGTGAAGTGACTCCCTCCGGGCTCCCTGCTGCCAGGCCCTCGCCACTTTTCTGGTTTTCATCACACTGCACTGTGACATTACGGGAAGGGACTGTCACCTTTCAATCTTAACCCCCTCTCTGCTCTGTTTTTCTGAACCTGACCCTCCTTTTCACCCCTGAGACTCCCCTCATGTCTGGCTTATTCTGTTAAAGTAATCTCCTAAATGGTTGTTTCTGTCTACTCCACAAATCAATAACCAGAATGCCTTGAAACTGAAATCTATTGCTACTTCCATTCTGCTTTCACCGGCTCCCTCATGTACAGTACACTGCAGTGACTGAGGCTCAGGTCGGGTTGCCCATAATCAGACCCAAGACACATAACCTGGTTCAAACCCACCAGCTGCTGTGCAGGAGAAAGAAGAGACTGTCTACTCTCCTAAAGGTTTACAGTCACAGAGGAATAGTTCTCCTCTGCTCTACAGGGGCTCTCTGAGTCAACAGTGACTGGATGGCAGTGGTAGCAGGCAGAATACTATTGTGGGCAACCAGTGTTCCCTTCTGCAAGATACCTCCCAGGGAGCTTATCGACAGGGCACTTTCGGTCTCTCCTACCTGGGGGCACCAAGCAAGCATCAGTGGGA